GACAACTGCATTTAAGGCTCTGCTGTCACGCCACAGGAACGCTTACCGACACAGCTCCCGCACGCCGTCTCGCTCTCTGTCAAACATGACTCGGGTGGAGACAAAGAGTGAGTGTGTGCTCGCCACTCAGTGGCTGGAAAAACAAACCGAACCTTACAGACGTGAGAAAAGTGGCAAAAAGGAAGTAAATAACCCCCAGCCACCCCTTCAAAAGAAAAGTCTGTGTGGACGCACGTTGGTCATTAAAGGCATGAGTCAGTGGAAACGCCGCTGAGGTGGGAAAGTGGCTGAAGAGAGACAGAAGGGGGAGATTGCACCGCGGAGATTTAGTTCGAGCAAGAGGGTGAAATCACTTTTTGAGAGGGGGGGGGGGGGGGGTCGAGAAAGAAGGGGAGGAGAGATTAGCGTCATTAAAGAGCCCTAATCCTCTGACTAGCGTGGCTGGCGCTAAAATGGAGGATCACACGGCTTTTTAACGGCGCCTTTGTCAGTCGGCCACGAGGGGACCTGGCAAGACAAGGCCGCGTGGCAAACTGGGAGAAACTGGAGGACGGGGAGGGGGGGCGAAGAAAATTTCAATGAAAAGTTAAATTAGAGAAGGATCCTCGAGAGGAGGCGAGATGAGGAGGACGGAGGGGGAGGGGGGAGCAGAGAAAGTGTTGAAGGAGGAAAAATAAGAGAAACAGGCGGACGCCGACACACGCTGCTCCTGCCCCCGTCTCCTCCTCCTCCTCTCTGTTCTTCTCTGGCGAATGAAAACGAACGAGCGGAGCGACCACGGGGCCCCAACCGCTCCGCTCCGCTTTATCTCTCACTCTGCAGTCGTCTCCTTTCCCATCATTCCCTCTATTCTTCCTCCCTCCCTCTGTCCTCAGCAGTCCCTCTCCTCTTCCGTCTTCATCTCTCCTCCACTCCCTCCCTCCGTCACCTTTCATGTTGTTACTCATTATAGCGCTGACATCTCTCCCTCTGTCCCTCCATCTCTCCCACCGTTCCTCCCCTACTGGTGTTGGCCTTCACCCCCGTGTCTCGGCCTGGACGGGACCGAGGGAGAGAAGGCGGGGGAGGATGTTCCAGATGGACGGACTCTGAACTCCAAAAGAGAGAGAAGAGACGGTGGGATGAAAGAGGAGACGGAAACGAGGAGAGGAGAGGACCTATGGGTGTGCACTAAAGATGGAAAAGAGCAGACAGAAAGTTAACGGACCGCCCGAGTCTACCTGAAATGACAGACGAGCGCACAAACAGACACATGCAAACAACACACCCACACTCCCCGCGTGTCTCTCTAATAGGCTAGACAGCGCGGCGACGTGTGGAGGACGCAGCCTTGGTGAAGCGCTGTAGAAGAGACACACACGCTGATCGATTTCTCTTTATGTTCCTGCCTCGCTCATCCACATTCACTAAGTTTGTCATAACTGTCACACACACAGAGAAACCTGATCAAAGCCGCAAAATCTAAATTTAAAAGAAACTTTGGAGACGTCGAGCTCTTCGTATGCAACGATTAGAGCTGCCGATAATTACTGGAAGCCCCAAAAATAAAAACCAGTCGTACATTTGAAATATGGCGTGTCTGGCTGCGGTGCAGCGACTGATTAAACAAGTCAATGAACAACTCGGGTTCGTTTAGTTAGCCCCGCATAACGATGTCGGCTAAATGCCTGAAATGGAAATACAACCCATGTATGTCACACTTTCGCTCTTTTACACGTCTTTGATGTTCGAATCAAAGACGCTCAGCTGGTAGCAGCAAAAGGCTTTCAGGTCCCAAGGCTGCTCCGGAAGCTGAAACTGCCTAAGATACTGAACTGATATTATAAATGAGTAAAAAAGTCATCTGTTAGGTTAACCAACCAATTAGCTGTCAGAATAAAATATTATTCAAATAAAAAAGCATCAATTCGAATGAAGGACACCAGGAGCTGGTCGAGTCTTCTCTTTAAGTCTAATCTTGCATGAGAGAGAAAGTCCGCTGCTATTCAAGCGTCCCAGGTACAGACTGGTTCCCCCCCCCTCTTTCTTACAGCCCAGTTCCTCCCAGTCCAACTCTCCACTCCACCTTTGAGGCTGGCCATCAGCCCAGACCTGCACCTTTACTCCACAAGACCCCCGCTGACCTTATCCCTCCATCCCTCCATCCCTCTTCATCCCTCCTCCACCCGCTCCCCAGGCCCCCTCCGATGGCCCCAGGCTGCCCCAGGCGTGCACGCACACACACACACACTCACCACAGGGGGCAGAAAAACAACTTCCACCCTTGGCTCGCTCTGGGCAGCCCAGCACACACTCATTCTGGCTCTGACCATCTCACATATGCACACAAACACAATTAAAGCCGACTCGAAACCAACGCTGAAGTAAGTTTGATGAGAAACGTGTTGTTCGTGCTGCACCCTTCACGTGAACGACATCCTGCAGCTTAAAATAACAGCATCGTCTCAGCCCCGCGCTGGAAATCATTTCGACGGGCCGCAGCGCACACCTGACGATTACATTGCACTAATAAATTGCACAATTTGTGTGTTTTGCTCCGAAAAAGCAGGCTGGATGGCTTATTGCTTTGTTTGGCTGTCGCAGTCGTAACTTGACAGTAACAGTAGCGCACGAGCCTTAACGTGCAGCAATAATCTGACGCTTTGTCCCACATGCTGCACTCGTCAATCGGCACAGCCAAACAAGACAATAGCAGAAAGATCCCTACCTGGCTCTGTGATTAGCATGCGCGTTGACATGGCAACCAGTCAGCTGTGCTTAGCTTACCGGTTGCCATGCATTGAGATTTGCACAGTAGGACTTTTACTTTGACCAGTCAGACTGTTGGAGTGAAGCTTCCTGTTGTGTCGTCCATCGAATGTGCCGACAGAACAACGCTTTGTCTTATTTTCATAACCAGCGAGTGCTGCAGATAGAGTAATGACCAGCTTCTTTCTCTTTCTCTTGAACATGAACATGCCCCCCCCACACACACACACACTGGTGAAGCGGTTTACACATATGCGGCCCCGGCTGCATCCCTGGCCTACGCTCCGAGGACCCACAGTCCTCTGCTGCCGTCCTCGCAGCTCACACGGGACGCAGTCTGTCGGGAGAAACGCACACAAACAGCTACAGCGAGGACGATGCGGCAGTCTGTCCGGGGCTCGAGCCCGCGAGAACACGATGGACGGACACGCACAGAAACACATGCATTCACACGCTCTAAGCAGGCGGCGGGGACCCTCACCTCCTGCCCTGGGAATGGGTCCGGCTGCTTTGGACGCTTTTGGGCGCCAACTGCTCCATATGGGCAGTGTGTGTTTGTGTGTGTGTGCAAGTGTGTTTGAGGGCAGAAGGTTAGGGGCAGGGGGCTACGGATGGGGGTGGGTGGACAGCGGGCTGGCAG